TGTAGTCTTCTTACTACTAGATGTAGTTTTCTTACTACTAGATGTAGTCTTCTTACTACTAGATGTAGTCTTCTTACTACTAGATGTAGTCTTCGTACTACTAGGTGTAGTCTTCTTACTACTAGATGTAGTCTTCTTACTACTAGATGTAGTCTTCTTACTACTAGATGTAGTCTTCGTACTACTAGATGTAGTCTTCGTACTTCTAGATGTAGTCTTCTTACTACTAGATGTAGTCTTCTTACTACTAGATGTAGTCTTCTTACTTCTAGATAGTCTTCTTACTACTAGATGTAGTCTTCTTACTACTAGATGTAGTCTTCTTACTACTAGATGTAGTCTTCTTACTACTAGATGAAGTCTTCTTACTACTAGATGTAGTCTTCTTACTACTAGATGTAGTCTTCTTACTTCTAGATAGTCTTCTTACTACTAGATGTAGTCTTCTTACTACTGTATGTAGTCTTCTTACTACTTGATGTAGTCTTCTTACTACTAAATGTAGTCTTCTTACTACTAGATAGTCTTCTTAGTACTAGATGTAGTCTTCTTACTACTAGATGTAGTCTTCTTACTACTAGATGTAGTCTTCTTACTACTAGATAGTCTTCTTACTACTAGATGTAGTCTTCTTACTACTAGATGTAGTCTTCTTACTACTAGATGTAGTCTTCTTACTACTAGATGTAGTCTTCTTACTACTAGATAGTCTTCTTACTACTAGATGTAGTCTTCTTACTACTTAGATGTAGTCTTCTTACTATTAAATGTAGTCTTCTTACTTCTAGATGTAGTCATCTTACTACTAGATGTAGTCTTCTTACTACTAGATGTACTCTTCTTACTACTAGATGTAGTCTAATTACTACTAGATGTAGTCTTCTTACTACTAGATGTAGTGTTCTTGCTATTAGATGTAGTCTTCTTACTACTAGATGTAGTCTTCTTACTACTAGAAGTAGTCTTCTTACTACTAGATGTAGTCTTCTTACTGCTAGATGTAGTCTTCTTACTACTAGATGTAGTCTTCTTTCTACTAGATGTAGTGTTCTTACTACTAGATAGTCTTATTACTACTAGATGTAGTCTTCTTACTACTAGATGTAGTCTTCTTACTACTAGATGTAGTCTTCTTACTACTAGATGTAGTCTTCTTACTACTAGATGTAGTCTTCTTACTACTAGATGTAGTCTTCTTACTACTAGATGTAGTCTTCTTACTACTAAATGTAGTCTTCTTACTACTAGATGTAGTCTTCTTACTGCTAGATGTAGTCTTCTTACTACTAGATTTAGTCTTCTTACTGCTAGATGTAGTCCTCTTACTACTTAGATGTAGTCTTCTTACTACTAGATGTAGTCTTCTTACTGCTAGATGTAGTCATCTTACTACTAGATGTAGTCTTCTTACTACTAGATGTAGTCTTCTTACTACTAGATGTAGTCTTCTTAATACTAGATAGTTTTTGTACTACTAGATGTATTCTTCTTACTACTAGATGTAGTCCTGTTACTAATAGATGTAGTCTTCTTACTGCTAGATGTAGTCTTCTTACTACTAGATATAGTCTTCTTACTACTAGATGTAGTCATCTTACTACTAGATGTAGTCTTCTTACTACTAGATAGTCTTCTTACTACTAGATGTAGTCTTCTTACTACTAGATGTATTCTTCTTACTACTAGATGTAGTCTTCTTACTTCTAGATGTATTCTTCTTACTACTAGATGTAGCCTTCTTACTACTAGATGTAGTCTTCTTACTACTAGATGTAGTCTTCTTACTACTAAATAGTCTTCTTACTGCTAGATGTAATCTTCTTACTGCTAGATGTATTCTTCTTACTACTAGATGTAGTCTTCTTACTACTAGATGTAGTCTTCTTACTACTAGATATAGTCTTCTTACTACTAGATGTAGTCATCTTACTACTAGATGTAGTCTTCTTACTACTAGATAGTCTTCTTACTACTAAATAGTCTTCTTACTACTAGATGTAATCTTCTTACTACAAGATGTAGTCTTCTTTCTCCTAGATGTAGTCTTCTTACTACTAGATGTAGTCTTCTTACTACTAGATGTAGTCTTCTTACTACTAGATGTAGTCTTCTTACTACTAAATGTAGTCTTCTTACTTCTAGATGTAGTCTTCTTACTGCTAGATGTAGTCTTCTTACTACTAGATGTAGTCTTCTTACTACTAGATAGTCTTCTTACTTCTAGATGTAGTCTTCTTACTACTAGATGTAGTCTCCTTACTACTAGATGTAGTCTTCTTACTACTAGATAGTCTTCTTACTACTAGATATAGTCTTCTTACTGCTAGATGTAGTCTTCTTACTGCTAAATGTAGTCTTCTTGCTACTAGATGTAGTCTTCTTACTACTAGATGTGGTCTTCTTACTGCTAGATGTTGTCATCTTACTACTAGTCTTCTTACTACTAGATGTAGTCTTCTTACTACTAGATGTAGTCTTCTTACTACTAGATGTAGTCTTCTTACTACTAGATGTAGTCTTCTTACTACTAGATGTAGTCTTCTTACTACTAGATGTAGTCTTCTTTCTGCTAGATGTAGTCATCTTACTACTAGATAGTCTTCTTACTACTAGATGTAGTCTTCTTACTACTAGATGCATTCTTCTTACTACTAGATATAGTTTTCTTACTACTAGATGTAGTCTTCTTACTACTACATGTAGTCATCTTACTTCTAGATGTAGTCTTCTTACTACTAGATGTAGTCTTCTTACTACTAGATATAGTCTTCTTACTACTAGATGTAGTCATCTTACTACTAGATGTAGTCTTCTTACTACTAGATAGTCTTCTTACTACTAAATAGTCTTCTTACTACTAGATGTAATCTTCTTACTACTAGATGTAGTCTTCTTTCTCCTAGATGTAGTCTTCTTACTACTAGATGTAGTCTTCTTACTACTAGATGTAGTCTTCTTACTACTAGATGTAGTCTTCTTACTACTAAATGTAGTCTTCTTACTTCTAGATGTAGTCTTCTTACTGCTAGATGTAGTCTTCTTACTACTAGATGTAGTCTTCTTACTTCTAGATGTAGTCTTCTTACTACTAGATGTAGTCTCCTTACTACTAGATGTAGTCTTCTTACTACTAGATAGTCTTCTTACTACTAGATATAGTCTTCTTACTGCTAGATGTAGTCTTCTTACTGCTAAATGTAGTCTTCTTGCTACTAGATGTAGTCTTCTTACTACTAGATGTGGTCTTCTTACTGCTAGATGTTGTCATCTTACTACTAGTCTTCTTACTACTAGATGTAGTCTTCTTACTACTAGATGTAGTCTTCTTACTACTAGATGTAGTCTTCTTACTACTAGATGTAGTCTTCTTACTACTAGATGTAGTCTTCTTACTACTAGATGTAGTCTTCTTTCTGCTAGATGTAGTCATCTTACTACTAGATAGTCTTCTTACTACTAGATGTAGTCTTCTTACTACTAGATGCATTCTTCTTACTACTAGATATAGTTTTCTTACTACTAGATGTAGTCTTCTTACTACTACATGTAGTCATCTTACTTCTAGATGTAGTCTTCTTACTACTAGATGTAGTCTTCTTACTACTAGATGTAGTCTTCTTTCTGCTAGAAATAGTCTTCTTACTGCTAGATAGTCTTCTTACTACTAGATGTAGTCTTCTTACTGCTAGATAGTCTTCTTACTACTTGATGTAGTCTTCTTACTACTAGATGTAGTCTTCTTACTACTAGATGTAGTCTTCTTACTGCTAGATAGTCTTCTTACTACTAGATGTAGTCTTCTTACTGCTAGATAGTCTTCTTACTACTAGATGTAGTCTTCTCTCTGCTAGTCTTCTTACTACTAGATGTAGTCTTCTTACTACTAGATGTAGTCTTCTTACTACTAGATGTAGTCTTCTTACTACTAGATGTAGTCTTCTTACTGCTAGATAGTGTTCTTACTACTAGATGTAGTCTTCTTCCTACTAGATGTAGTCTTCTTACTAGTAGATGTAGTCTTCTTACTGCTAGATAGTCTTCTTACTACTAGATGTAGTCTTCTTACTACTAGATGTAGTCTTCTTACTACTAGATGTAGTCTTCTTACTACTAGATAGTCTTCTTACTACTAGATGTAGTCTTCTTACTACTAGATAGCCTTCTTACTACTAGATGTAGTCTTCTTACTGCAAGATAGTCTTCTTACTACTAGATGTAGTCTTCTTACTACTAAATGTAGTCTTCTTACTACTAGATGTAGTCTTCTTACTGCTAGATAGTCTTTTTACTACTAGATGTAGTCTTCTTACTGCTAGATAGTCTTTTTACTATTAGATGTAGTCTTCTTACTGCTAGATAGTCTTCTTACTACTAGATGTAGTCTTCTTACTACAAGATGTAGTCTTCCTACTGCTAGATAGTCTTCTTACTACTAGATGTAGTCTTCTTACTACAAGATGTAGTCTTCCTACTGCTAGATAGTCTTCTTACTACTAGATGTAGTCTTCTTACTACAAGATGTAGTCTTCCTACTGCTAGATAGTCTTCTTACTACTAGATGTAGTCTTCTTACTACAAGATGTAGTCTTCCTACTGCTAGATAGTCTTCTTACTACTAGATGTAGTCTTCTTACTACAAGATGTAGTCTTCCTACTGCTAGATAGTCTTCTTACTACTAGATGTAGTCTTCTTACTGCTAGATAGTCTTTTTACTACTAGATGTAGTCTTCTTACTGCTAGATAGTCTTCTTACTACTAGATGTAGTCTTCTTACTACTAGATGTAGTCTTCCTACTGCTAGATAGTCTTCTTACTACAAGATGTAGTCTTCCTACTGCTAGATAGTCTTCTTACTACTAGATGTAGCTGTTTTTACTACAACATGTACAACATTTTTTTGTGCTTCCCTTTTTTTGTATTATACATATTTAAAGTTGAAGATAGGATCATTTAATGCCTATTTGTCCTCAATGTTTAATTAAGTTGTTGTGTGATGGAGGTGTGTGGTTGGGCTGTGAACCTGGATGCTGCTGCTAAGAAACATTCAAGTCAGATGAAGAACCAAGACCTGAGTCAGCGAGCCTCTCTCCTACTGCAGGTATTGTTGGATTATTAACTGTGTCAGAACCAGTGAGTCTCTCTCCTACTGCAGGTATTGTTGGATTATTAACTGTGTCAGAACCAGTGAGCCTCACTCCTACTGCAGGTATTGTTGGATTATTAACTGTGTTAGAACCAGTGAGTCTCTCTCCTACTGCAGGTATTGTTGGATTATTAACTGTGTCAGAACCAGTGAACCTCACTCTTACTGCAGGTATTGTTGGGTTATTAACTGTGTTAGAACCAGTGAGCCTCTCCTACTGCAGGTATTGTTGGATTATTAGCTGTGCCAGAACCAGTTAGCCTCTCTCCTACTGCATGTATTGTTGGATTATTAACTGTGTCAGAACCAGCGAGTCTCACTCCTGCTGCAGGTATTGTTGGATTATTAACTGTCAGAACCAGTGAGCCTCTCTCCTACTGCAGGTATTGTTGGATTATTTACTGTCAGAGCCAGTGAGCCTCACCCCTACTGCAGGTATTGTTGGATTATTAACTGTGTCAGAACCAGTGAGCCTCTCTCCTACTGCAGGTATTGCTGGATTATTTACTGTCAGAACCAGTAAGCCTCTCTCCTACTGCAGGTATTGTTGGATTATTTACTGTCAGAGCCAGTGAGCCTCACTCCTACTGCAGGTATTGTTGGATTACTTACTGTCAGAACCAGTAAGCCTCTCTCCTACTGCAGGTATTGTGTGTTGGATTATTAACAGTGTCAGAACCAGTGAGCCTCTCTCCTACTGCAGGTATTGTGTGTTGGATTATTAACTGTGACAGAACTCCTACTGCAGGTATTGTGTGTCAGATTATTAACTGTGTCAGAACCAGTGAGCCTCACTCCTACTGCAGGTATTGTGTGTCAGATTATTAACTGTGTCAGAACCGGTGAGCCTCTCTCCTACTGCAGGTATTGTGTGTTGGATTATTAACTGTGTCAGAACCAGTGAGCCTCTCTCCTACTGCAGGTATTGTGTGTTGGATTATTAACTGTGTCAGAACCAGTGAGCCTCTCTACTACTGCAGGTATTGTGTGTTGGATTATTAACTGTGTCAGATCCAGTGAGCCTCTCTCCTACTGCAGGTATTGTGTGTTGGTATTAACTGTGTCAGAACTCCTACTGCAGGTATTGTGTGTCAGAACCAGTGAACCTCTCTCCTACTGCAGGTATTGTGTGTTGGATTATTAACTGTGTCACAACTCCTACTGCAGGTATTGTGTGTCAGATTATTAACTGTGTCAGAACCAGTGAGCCTCTCTCCTACTGCAGGTATTGTTGGATTATTAACAGTGTCAGAACCAGTGATCCTCTCTCCTACTGCAGGTATTGCGTGTTGGATTATTAACAGTGTCAGAACCAGTGAGCCTCTCTCCTGCTGCATGTATTGTGTGTTGGATTGTTAACTATATCTGCACCAGGGAGCCTCTCTCCAACTGCAGGTATTGTTGGATTATTAACTGTGTCAGAACCAGTGAGCCTCTCTCCTGCTGCAGGTATTGTGTGTTGGATTATTAACTGTGTCAGAACCAGTGAGCCTCTCTCCTACTGCAGGTATTGTTGGATTATTAACCCTTTGACTGTTTTGGTCGTATATATATGTCTTACGAGCCAGTGTTTCGGACGTATATGTACTCAACAATTTTAATGGCTTCAAATCAAGCAGGAGAAAGCTGGTAGGCTCACTTGTGAGAGAATGGGTCTGTGTGGTCAGTGTGCACCATATAAAAAAAATCCTGCAGCACTCAATGCATAATGAGAAAAAAAACTTTGACTTATTTGTTTGGATTAAAACGCCAATTTTGAGGTGTATTTTTGTATAGTATTTATCATTGTATTCTCGTTTTCATGGTCTCAAGTGATAAATTGGAAAACATATTAAAGAAATAGAGGCGATTTTGATTAGTTTCACAATGAAAACGACCTTGAAATTGAGCTCTAAGTAGCAGAGATGTTCGATTTTAACCAATGTTCAAGAGTAAACAAATCACACCACATGTCCAATACATATCAACTGAGGAGTCTAATATTCTTTCACTAGTGCACTGATATTAATTATATCATTGTTACAATAATTCAGTAGTTTGCATAACAGTAAATCTATTTTTTGTATTACCTGGAGTTTACCTGGAGAGAGTTTGGGGGGTCAATGCCCCAGCAGCCCGGTCTGTGACCAGGCCTCATGGTGGATCAGAGCCTGATCAACCAGGCTGTTACTGCTGGCTGCACGCAATCCAGTATATGAGCCACAGCCCGGCTGGTCAGGTACCGACTTTAGGTGCTTGTCCAGTGCCTGCTGAAGACAGCCAGTGGTCTATTGGTAATCCCCCTTATGTATGCTGGGAGGCAGTTGAACAGTCTTGGGCCCCTGACACTTATTGTGTTGTCTCTTAATGTGTTAGTGACACCCCTGCTTTTCATTGGGAGGATGTTGCATCGTCTGCCGAGTCTTTGCTTTCGTAGCGAGTGATTTTCGTGTGCAAGTTCAGTACTAGTCCCTTTAGGATTTTCTGGGTGTATATAATCACGTATCTCTCTCTCCTGCGTTCCAGGGAGTACAGGTTCAGGAACTTCAAGCGCTTCCAGTAATTGAGGTGTTTTATCTCCGTTACGCAAGCCGTGAATAAAAAATCAAAATAGAAAGCAATAGTAATATAAGAGGGGCCTAGAGACATGACTAATGAACAGAGGATATGTTATTTTAGTGCCAAGAATGTCTACATTGTTTATTCTTGACCCTATTTTGAAATTGGCATCTTTTTTAATTTGCATGAAAATGGCCAAATTGCCAATTTCTGACCACATTATTGGATAGTTCAAATCAGTAAATGGGCAGTTTCTTGTACTCAGTTGATAGAAAAAATGGAGTTCTGAAGAAATAGCTATGAGTTTGGTCAACTGGAACAACGCAATTGGCCAAAAATGGGGCTCAAAGTCAGCGAAATCGCCGATACATATATGTCGCTGAGACCGCTAACTTCACGGAAGCATAATTCCGTGAGTTTTCGACCAAATTTTGTACTTTTGGTGTCTTTACCATCGGGAAAAGATATTCTATCATATCGTTAGTTTTTTTTTTTTTCAAAAAAATTTTTCGACATAGAATGACAGTTTCAGAAAAGGGCTGGTGACAGTCAAAGGGTTAACTGTGTCAGAACCAGTGAGCCTCTCTCCTACTGCAGGTATTGTGTGTTGGATTATTAACTGTGTCAGAACCAGTGAGCCTCTCTCCTCCTGCAGGTATTGTGTGTTGGATTATTAGCCATGTCAGAACTAGTTAGCCTCTCTCCTTCTGCAGATATTGTGTGTTGGATTATTAATTGTGCCAGAAACATTGAGCCTCTCTCCTACTGCAGAGATTATTAACTATGTCAGAACCTGTGAGCCTCTCTCCTACTGCAGGTATTGTTGGATTATTAACTGTGTCAGAACCAGTGAGCCTCTCTCCTACTGCAGGTATTGTGTGTTGGATTATTAACTGTGTCAGAACCAGTGAGCCTCTCTCCTACTGCAGATATTGTGTGTTGGATTATTAACTGTGTCAGAACCAGTGAGCCTCTCTCCTACTGCAGGTATTGTGTGTTGGATTATTAACTGTGTCAGAACCAGTTAGCTTCTCTCCTACTGCAGGTATTATGTGTTGGATCATCAACCCTTTCAGTGTCGACAGGCCCTGTTAGAGACTTGTTCTCAGGGTCGGCCAAATTTAAAAAAAAAAAAAATTATTTTTTCTTATGAAAAAATAGTTTTTTTTTTCTTTCTAAACATTATAGGCTAAACAAAAAAAATTTACCATCAATACTTACCAAGATATGGAGACATGAAGTTTACCAAAAAGGAGCATCATGTGGTAACATCGCCGACTGCCGTCACCCGGTATTCTTTTATTTAGTGTTTTATGTACTATTTTCTATTATTTTTTTAATTTTTATTTTGCCAAGTAACTTTCATGGCCTGTGAGACCAATATGATCAGTATTTTGTAAGTTATTTCTTTTTCAATACTACACAATAACGGCATGAACACTGTTGACATTGTTTTGTTTACAGAAAATATTTGCACAAACAAACGATATGAAATGTTGTTTATTACTATTTTTCTATATTTTATATACACATATACAGTCACAGGGAATGTTTCTAGAAGTTCTGCAGCCTGTGAAAGTCTTTGAAACATGGTGTCATGCACAGTGGTGTTTTACACTCCTCACACATAAAACCAGTGTCTCTGCATTGTTTTGGGTGTTTTTTTGTATGTGCACAGAAGTAACACCTCTTCTGAGCCTTTTTCTTGAAAGCAGTAGCAGGCAGTTTTACCAGGAAGTGATCACCATGCTTCAAACGAGGAGGAAGTTGTTGACAATTTGGTGAGCGGTCTATTGCAGGTGTTCTTCCTTGGTACTTGAATACTTTTTGTCTGATGAGAGACAAACAGAATTCGCCGTATTGTGGTTTGTTTCTGGTCCTCATCTTATACATATTATAAGCATTCAGCATGGAAATTTCCAGAAGATGGAAAAAGTTTTATGTACCACTTATAACTCTTGCAAACACAATCAGCAAACCCAGTCTGCATGTCACATTTGTCCACTGAACGCATATTGAGGGTGTAATCAATCACAGCTGCAGGTTTTAGAATGGGTTCATTGCTTTCTCTATGCTGCCTGTCAGTGTCTGCCATTTCATTAGGGTGAACTGATGACAATAGTGTGACATCTCGTTTGTCATGCCACCAAAATGCCATGATGTCATTGGCAGCAAACGTCTGCACCTCACCTCTACAAGTGCCAGCGTCAAACCTGGGCATATGTTTCCGATTTACACACACTGTGCCACACACATCTGTCATGTTCACTCGCAAAAAATCACTGAGTAAGGGGCTTGTGTACCAGTTTTCTGTATATAATATATGCCCCCTTACCAAGGTATGGTTCTATCATTCTTCTAACCACATCACCAGAGATGCCCAAAAACTTCCTGGTATTTTGCAATGTATAACTTCCAGTGTACACAATAATATCCAATACCAGACCACTGTAACAATCACGAAGCACAAACAACTTATACCAAAGCGTTTCCTCTTGCTTGGTATGTACTGCTTGAAAGAGAGTCTTCCTTTGAATTGAATCAAAGACTCATCAATTACAAGCTTCCTAAAGGGATAAAAATACATATTGAATTTCTCTTTCAGATACACAAACACATGCCTAATCTTATATAACCTGTCGTTTCTGTCAGGCTTGGTTTTGTCTGAGGAGTGAAGCATACATAACAGTAGCGCAAATCGATTCACTGGCATTATATCACTGAAACCTGGGGTTGCAATCAGGCGGTCTATTTACCAGTATGATTTCACACTGTGCTTATACACGTGTGGCATAAGCATTATTGTGGCAAAGAAAAGATACATCTCAGCCACAGTTGTTTCCTTCCACTGATGTAGACGTGATTTTGGTGAAAGTATTGTGTTTGCCATGGTTTACTCGTGGTATGTGTTGCTTTCCATGACAATACTTTCCATCAGGGGTTCGTCAAAGAATAACTCGAAACATTCCAGTTCACTGGCATTGTTTCCCAGTGTACAACATGGCCGTATTCCACTTTGGCTGTCATCAAACTGGTGGGGATTTGGAACAAAATTAACAGCTTCCTGCCAATCCCAGGTGCAGTCTGCTGGTGGGTACTGGACAATGACAGGTGGTTGTGGTTGTGGAGGTTGTGGTTGTGGAGGTTGTGGTTGTAGAGGCTGGTGTGGTGGGTGGGTGGGGGATGGTGGCCTTTGTTGTAGATCAGCTGAGGCAGCGGCATGGGTGGCAGCAGTGTGGGTGGCAGCAGCGTGGGTGGCAGCAGCATGGGTGGCAGCAGCGTGGGTGGCAGCATGGCCCACTGCTGGTGCCTCACCGCTGGCACCACTACCACCACCATGCACATTTTCCATCCCAATTGCAACAGTATCATTGTCATTTTCACTGTCAATTCCTGTTGTACAGCCACGGGATGTACTCCTTCCCCTTGGAATAGCATATGGCACACTACCAGAGCGCATATATCGCCGTATATACTGACGCTTCTCTGGGGAATATTGCATTTCACTATCACTACTGGAACTAGTTTGAAGAGCTTGTAGTTCATAATCACTATCACTATCATCACAAATGCTCACATCTGAGTCTGGGATTTGGGAAAATAGGAGTTTCCTCTTTGATTCTGGTACAACTGAGCGTGAACAAGACAGCCCAGCAGCAGAGGTGGAAGGCTGAGGGTCGTCTGGGTTTTCCTCACTCTTACCGATATTATGGTCATTAGTTTCGGTCAAAACCTCACCAAAACCTTGAAACTCATCTTCACTGGCACTTCCATCTGTATTAGAACTGTCACTGGGGAACAAAAGTGTCCCAATTCGCCGGGGAGTGAGGAGCTTCTTACTGTGAGGCATGGTGGAAATGGTGTACTAAAATGGCGTTCCCACAATGCGCCACTGGGTCCCAGATTTTTTTTCTACTGCACACACCCACCACACAGACCCATTCTCTCACATCTAGGCCTACCAGCTTTTTTCCGCTTGATTTGAAGGCGCTAGAATTTATGCGTACTAGTACGTCTAAAACCCCTGCACGTAAGCCATACTAGTATGGCTGAAACCCTGAAAGGGTTAACTGTGTCAGAACCAGTGAGCCTCTCTCCTACTGCAGGTATTGTGTGTTGGATTATTAACTGTGTCAGAACCAGTGATCCTCTCTCTTACTTCAGGTATTGTGTGTTGGATTATTAACTGTGTCAGAACCAGTGATCCTCTCTCTTACTGCAGGTATTTTGTGTTAGATTTTCAAATCTGCCTTTATGGAGGATGAGGGTGTGGAGTGGCCTTGATGCTGGTGAAGGATGAGGGTGTGGAGTGGCATTGATGCTGGTGAAGGATGAGGGTGTGGAGTGGCCTTGATGCTGGTGAAGGATGAGGGTGTGGAGTGGCCTTGATGCTGGTGAAGGATGAGGGTGTGGAGTGGCCTTGATGCTGGTGAAGGATGAGGGTGTGGAGTGGCCTTGATGCTGGTGAAGGATGAGGGTGTGGAGTGGCCTTGATGCCGGTGAAGGATGAGGGTGTGGAGTGACCTTGATGCTGGTGAAGGATGAGGGTGTGGAGTGGCCTTGATGCTGGTGAAGGATGAGGGTGTGGAGTGGCCTTGATGCTGGTGAAGGATGAGGGTGTGGAGTGGCCTTGATGCTGGTGAAGGATGAGGGTGTGGAGTGGCCTTGATTCTGGTGAAGGGCTCTTGATATACAGAATTGCAGTACCTCCTGTCCCTCTTTCCTCCCATTCCTCAGGTGCTGCATGACCTTTTTGGGTTTTGCAGTTTCCTATGGTAATGGGAAACACAGTGCTACTGCACTCTGAAGGAAGGTCAGGATGTTACAGTGCGGAGGATCATGTGAGCTCTGATGTCAACACTTACATCAGCACTGAAGGAAGGTCAGGATGTTACAGTGTGGAGGATCATGTGAGCTCTGATGTCAACACTTACATCAGCACTGAAGGAAGGTCAGGATGTTACAGTGTGGAGGATCATGTGACCTCTGATGTCAACACTTACATCAGCACTGAAGGAAGGTCAGGATGTTACAGTGTGGAGGATCATGTGAGCTCTGATGTCAACACTTACATCAGCACTGAAGGAAGGTCAGGATGTTACAGTGTGGAGGATCATGTGAGCTCTGATGTCAACACTTACATCAGCACTGAAGGAGTCAGGATGTTGCAGTTTGGAGAACTGTCTCAACTGTAATATCAGCACTTCTGTCAACACTCTTGATTATTATTATTATTTTTTTTTTTAGGTCACCCTACCTTGGTGAGAGAAGACAGATGTTTATAAAAAGAAAATGTAAAAGAATAACAAGTATCACTTGCCTTATGTGATAGATGTATTGTATACCTCATGTACATTTGTCCATCCTCATGGTAAACTGGTCAGATCTCAGCTGAGCAGTCGTGCCAGCTGCTACATAGTCAAGTTACATGAGAGTAAATTTATATCACACAAGAGGAATTTCTGGTAGAGAGGTCATTACATAACAGTGAATTTCTGGTAGAGAGGTCATTACGGTGGATCCTTGGTACTCGAAGCTAATTTGTTCCAGATGGCTGTTTGAGTACCAATCTTTCAAGTACTGAATGAATTTTTCCCATAAGGAATAATTAATAATAATTTTCATCTCTGTTGTGACTCGAACCAATTTTCTTTTTGTTTTCCTGTTATCACTAATCTTCATATGCCCCATGATGACTTGTTTATACAAATATAAAAAAAAACACCAAAATATGTGAAGAAGCATGAAATAGTTTACAGTGATGTTCAGCGGAGTTTCGCACTGAGCGACAGCTGTGGGGATTCGAACTAAGCATTCAAGTACCGAATTGTTTGAGTTGGGAGCTGTTCGTGTACTAAGGTACTACTGTACATAAGTGAATTTCTGGTAGAGAGACAGTCATTACATAACAGTGAATGTCTGGTAGAGAGAAGATTATTACATAATAGTGAATTTCTGGTAGAGAGGTCATTATATAACAGTGAATTTCTGGTAGAGATAACAGTAGTAAATTTAGTATGTATATTAAAATGGTTGACTTAAAGTTTTGACTTTCCACCACCAGGGTATGATCTTGGCACACACTATAAAGTACAACATTGAGACTGTACTCAACTTGCACACTACACTTGGCCGGCCCATGGGCAAGGCTTGTGCAGTGAGTGTGTGCCATCTAATAGAATCACTGAAGGCCATAGAGAACACATACCACCGTCACAGCAGCCTCTTGGCCGACTCTCTGCCACATGTGATACAGTACCTTACTTGTCAGGTGCTCTCCATTGTTACTGCTGCCAAGGTTAGTGCACTTTTAATATCTGTTGCTGCTGCTGTTTTCACTGACATAGTCCTCATGCTGGTGAGGGGCTTTTGGTCCAAAGATTTTAATTTTCTCTTTCCTTAAATCAAACTTTATTCTCTCTCATTCCCCAAGTATTGTATGATACCTATAAGTTTGCTTGCTTGTCTACTTCAGTGGAAGACTGCAGGTGTGCTATAATAATAATAATAATAATAATAATAATAATAATAATAATAATAATAATAAGGTAGTAGGTTGGTAGACAGCAACCACCCAGGGAGGTACTGCCGTCCTGCCAAGTGAGTGTAAAACGAAAGCCTGTAATTGTTTTACATGATGGTAGGATTGCTGGTGTCCTTTTTTCTGTCTCATGAACATGCAAGATTTCAGGTACGTCTTGCTACTTCTACTTACACTTAGGTCACACTACACATACATGTACAAGCACATATATACACACCCCTCTGGGTTTTCTTCTATTTTCTTTCTAGTTCTTATTCTTGTTTATTTCCTCTTATCTCCATGGGGAAGTGGAACAGAATTCTTCCTCCGTAAGCCATGCGTGTTGTAAGAGGCAACTAAAATGCCGGGAGCAAGGGGCTAGTAACCTCTTCTCCTGTATATATTACTAAATGTAAAAGGAGAAACTTCCGTTTTTCCTTTTGGGCCACCCCGCCTCGGTGGGATACGGCCGGTGTGTTGAAAGAAGAAGAAGAAGAATAATAATAATAATAATAAGGTAGTAGGTTGGTAGACAGCAACCACCCAGGGAGGTACTGCCGTCCTGCCAAGTGAGTGTAAAACGAAAGCCTGTAATTGTTTTACATGATGGTAGGATTGCTGGTGTCTTTTGTCTGTCTCATAAACATGCAAGATTTCAGGTATGTCTTGCTACTTCTACTTACACTTAGGTCACACTACACATACATGTACAAGCATATAGTATATACACACCCCTCTGGGTTTTCTTCTATTTTCTTTCTAGTTCTTGTTCTTGTTTATTTCCTCTTATCTCCATGGGGAAGTGGAACAGAATTCTTCCTCTGTAAGCCATGCGTGTTGTAAGAGGCAACTAAAATGCCGGGAGCAAGGGGCTAGTAACCCCTTCTCCTGTATATATTACTAAATGTAAAAGGAGAAACTTTCATTTTTCTTTTTGGGCCACCCCGCCTCGGTGGGATACGGCCGGTGTGTTGAAAGAAAGAAAGAATAATAAGATAGTAGGTTGGTAGACAGCAACCACCCAGGGTGGTACTACTGTCTACTAAATCCCTGTAAAACAGAAACCTGTAATTGTTTTACATAATAATAGGAATGCTGGTATCTTTTTCTTTCTGTCTCATAAACACACAGGAAAACAGGTATGTCTTGCTGCTTCTGCTTACAGTTGGGCACACTACATACACATGTACATGTATATGTACATGTTCTTGTTCTTGTATATGTACATAGTTCTTGTTCTTTTTATTTCCTTTCATCTCCATGGGGAAGTGGAAAAGAATCTTTCCTCCGTAAGCCCTGCATGTCGTAAGAGGAGACTAAAATATCAGGAGCAGTGGGCTAGTAACTCCTTATCCTGTATAAATTACTAAAAATAAGAAAAGCTGTATAAAACTGGGATGTTTGAATGTGCATGGATGTGTGCAGATGATAAGAAAGAGGTGATTGCCTGTAGAGCCCCACTCATCACAGACACCCAGTTTGACACCTGGTCAAGTATTATGACTCGCTGTTGCCTTCCTGTCAGGTATTCTCTGATCCATTGCAGTGCCTCCCCTGTTATACTTGCCTGGCCCTCCAGGTTTTGCACTAATCTCTTGTGTGGAACTGTCAGAAGCCTTCTTACAATCCAAGAAAATGCAGTCTACCCACCCCCCTCTCTTGCCCTACCACCATCACCTTGCCATAAAACTCCAGTAGGTTTGTGACACAAGATTTCCCTTCCCTGTGTGTATGTGGGTGTGTGCATTCATGCGTGTGTGTGCATGCATGTGTGTGTGCGTGTGTGCATGCGTGCATGTACTTGCCTAATTTTAGTTGCAGGGGTCGAGTCATAGCTTCTGGCCCTGCCTCTTCATTGGTCATTACTAGGTCCACTCTTTTCCTGCTCCATAAACTTTATCATACCTTGTCTTAAAGTTATGTATGGTACCTGCCTCCACTACCTCACTTTCCAGACTATTCCAATTCCTAACAACTCTGTGACTGAAGAAATACAGTGGAACCTTGACTTATGAGTGTCCCAACGTACAAGTTTTTTGAGACACGAGCCGTCCCTGGGTTGACTTTTTGCTCTGAGTTACGAGCCAACATTTGAGTTACGAGCCAGCTTCCCCTGCTTCCCCATCAATGCAAAACCTCGACACCTTGCTTGTTTATCTATGATTTCATGCTTTAATTCCATGGAAATCATCCTCTTCTAAGCATTGTCCTTTACACTTACTTTCTCAGGACCCATGCTTAGAAAAATGAAATTTGGCCAAATGACTGTCAAAAATGTAAGCAAAGCATTAGAGAACTGCTCTCACAGTGAGGTAAACAGCGCACTGAGTTGGCAGCATTCATTATAATAATAATAATAATTATTATTATTAGTTATTATTATTACTATTATTATTTTTTTTTTTTCAACAAGTCAACTGTCTCCCACCGAGGCAGGGTGACCCAAAAAAGAAAGAAAATCTCCAAAAAGAAAATACTTTCATCATCATTCAACACTTTCACCTCACACACATAATCACTTTTTTTGCAGAGGTGCTCAGAATACAGCAGTTTAGAAGCATATACGTATAAAGATACACAAACATATTCCTCCAAACTGCCAATATCCCAAACCTCTCCTGTAAGGTGCAGGCATTATACTTCCCATATCCAGGACTCAAGTCCGGGTATATAAAAATAACCGGTTTCCTTGAATTCCTTCACTAAATATTACCCTACTCACACTCCAACAGATCGTCAGGTCCCAAATTATTATTATTCTTCTTTCAACACACCGGCCGTATCCCACCGAGGCGGGGTGGCCCAAAAGGAAAAACAAAAGTTTCTCCTTTTACATTTAGTAATATATACAGGAGAAGAGGTTACTAGCCCCTTGCTTCCGGCATTTTAGTTGCCTCCTACAACACGCATGGCTTACGGAGGAAGAATTCTGTTCCACTTCCCCATGGAGGTAAGAGAAAATAAACAAGAACAAGAACTAGAAAGAAAATAGAAGAAAACCCAGAGGGGTGTGTATATATATGCTTGTACATGTATGTGTAGTGTGACCTAAGTGTAAGTAGAAGTAGCAAGACATACCTGTAATCTTGCATATTTATGAGACAGACAAAAGACATCAGCAATCCTACCATCATGTAAAACAATTACAGGCTTTCGTTTTACACTCACTTGGCAGGACGGTAGTACCTCCCTGGGTGGTTGCTGTCTACCAGCCTACTACCTATAATTATTATTATTGTTATTTTTTTTTTTTTTTTTTAACAAGTCGGCCGTCTCCCACCGAGGCAGGGTGACCCACCGAGGCAGGGTGACCCACCGAGGCAGAGTGACCCACCGAGGCAGGGTGACCCAAAAAAGAAAGAAAATCCCCAAAAAGAAAATACTTTCATCATCATTCAACACTTTCACCACACTCACACATTATCACTGTTTTTGCAGAGGTGCTCAGAATACAACAGTTTAGAAGCATACACATATAAAGATACACAACATATCCCTCCAAGCTGCCAAGATCCCAAACCCCTCCTTTAAAGTGCAGGCATTGTACTTCCCATTTCCAGGACTCAAGTCCGACTATATGAAAATAACCGGTTTCCCTGAATCCCTTCACTAAATATTACCCTGCTCACACTCCAACAGATCGTCAGGTCCCAAGTACCATTCATCTCCATTCACTCCTATCCAACATGCCCATGCATGCCTGCTGGAAGTCCAAGCCCCTTGCCCACAAAACCTCCTTTACCCCCTCTCTCTAACCCTTTCGAGGACGACCCCTACCCCGCCTTCCTTCCCCTATAGATTTATATGGTTTCCATGTCATTCTACTTTGATCCATTCTCTCTAAATGACCAAACCACCTCAACAACCCCTCTTCTGCCCTCTGACTAATACTTTTATTAACTCCACACCTTTTCCTAATTTCCACACTCCGAATTTTCTGCATAATATTTACACCACACATTGCCCTTAAACAGGACATCTCCACTGCCTCCAACCGTCTCCTCTCTGCTGCATTTACCACCCAAGCTTCACACCCATGTAAGAGTGTTGGTACTACTATACTTTCATACATTCCCTTCTTTGTCTCCATAGATAACGTTTTTTGACTCCACATATACCTCAACGCACCACTCACCTTTTTTCCCTCATCAATTCTATTATTAACCTCATCCTTCATAAATCCACCCGACGACACATCAACTGCCAAGTATCTGAAAACATTCACTTCTTCCATACTCCTCCTCCCCAATTTGATATCCAATTTTTCTTTATCTAAATCATTTGATACCCTCATCACCTTACTCTTTTCTATGTTCACTTTCAACTTTCTACCTTTACACACATTCCCAAACTCATCCACTAACCTTTGCAATTTTTCTTTAGAATCTCCCATAAGCACACTATCATCAGCAAAAAGTAACTGTGTCAATTCCCATTTTGAATTTGATTCTCCAAAATTTAATCCCACCCCTCTCCCGAACACCCTAGCATTTACTTCCTTTACAACCCCATCTATAAATATATTAAACAACCATGGTGACATTACACATCCCTGTCTAAGACCTACTTTTACTGGGAAGTAATCTCCCTCTCTTCTACACACCCTAACCTGAGCTTCACTATCCTCATAAAAACTCTTTACAGCATTTAATAACTTACCACCTATTCCATATACTTGCAACATCTGCCACATTGCTCCTCTTTCCACTCTATCATATGCCTTTTCTAAATTCATAAATGCAATAAAAACTTCCCTACCTTTATCTAAATACTGT